TTTTTTAAAATTTGATTTTGTAATTTAACATTTAGGTATATTTGACCTATATTTGACCTTCACCTAATGGCTAAAGCTGAACGAAAAGTGGAATACACAAAAGTGGAATACCTCATCAAGTCCTAAAAGTAACCTCATTCAACAAATAACACTAAAGAGTTAATCTGTCTCTCACATCACCTGGGAGGAATTTTGGCCCACTCTTCCTTAAAGAAGTGCCTTGACTGTGATGTTTGAGAGCTGTCTTGTTCTTGCACTGCCACAACACCTTTATGGGATAAATGTCTGGACTTTGACGTGGCCATTCCAAAATCCAAATTGTCTTCTTTTTGAGCCATTCTGTAGCAGATGTGTGGTCTGTATCACTGTCCTGTTGTGTATTCCACTTTTGGTTCAGCTTTAGCCATTGGACAGATCCAGCTAGACATCCAGGTCCTGAGGCAGCAAAGCAAGCATAAAGCATCACCCCCACCACCACCGTGCTTGATGCTGGTCCCCCTGGTCAAAGGCAGTGTTTTCACCAAAAACAATGTTTTGCATTACAGCCAAACAATACCACTTCTTACTTTTCTGTACAGAGCAAATTGTTCCAGATGTCTTGTTTTTTCATTCAAGTGCTGTTTTTCAGTAATGTTCTTCTGGGAGTACAGAGGATTCCTCCTAGCTGTCCTTTCAATGTTTGTTCAAGCTTTTCAGGCTGGTGGACACCGACATTTACCAAAGTGAGAGAGGCTTGTAGATCCCTAGATGTAACCCTGGGGTTTTCTGGGACTTCTGGGGGCATTACAGTTAGATCTTGGAGAGAACTTGGTAGGTTGCTGCTGGGTAGTTTGGCAATAGTCTTGAATTTGAATGGTAGAATATCTATCTTACTGTGGAATAATGGACTTCGTATTGTTTGGAAATGACTCCCCTGACTGATCAGCAGCATCAATTCTTTCTTTAAGACTACCACAGACTTTATTATCCAAACATGATGCATAACCACTAACCCACAAACAAATTGACAAAATGTCTGATTTTTATATACAGATAGAATCACTTCCCGATGATCAACTAATCACTTGCACACTTCAGTGCATCTGATTACATACCCTCTTAATTAATTTTTCACACGAAGATATTGATTGTTTAATGTTTTTTTTATAATTAATGTAATACAGTATTGTGTGTATTACTATTCGAACTTGGTGAAGAGTAGATGAAGCTAAATTACTATATATCTAAATATTTTAAACCATAAAACCTTAAGGGTGTATTTACTTTTTCACCACACTGTAGAACTTCAGGAAAACAACAAAATATAACAGAATGTAGTTCTTCTGTGACATAGAAATGAAAAGTTTTTTTTTGTTTTTGTTTGTTGATTTTGTATAAGCTCTTTGAATTTGCTTAGAAAAGTGCAGGGCAGCATAGTGACTCCATGTTTAGCATTGCAGGCTTGAAGAGCATTGGATTCAATTTCTGGGATGCCATCTGCCACATCGGAGTTTGTGTTTTTTCCCTGTGTTCGTATGTTTCTTTGGAGTGCTCTGGTTTCCTTTCACAGTCCAAAGACATGCTGATCATTCATGGTATTATTATTATTTTTATTACAATTTTTATTATTATTATTATAAGCAACAGGTGCAAGATGGGGTACACCCTGTACAAACAGTAGTCTATTGCAGGGTAGACACACAGACATACACACTAGCACCAGCCAATATACCTACCAGTATGTCTTTGAACTGCGGGAGGAAACTGGAGAACCCCATGGGAACACGGGGAACATGTAAAAACTCCAAATCCCACCCCAGGTCCTTCATTTGAACCCAGGGCCCCAGAGCTGCAAGACCAGTGCTAACTATCGTACCACCATGCTGCCCGTTCCTGATTATGGAAGTACCAAAAGTCTTTTTCTTTTTGTAGAATTTGGTTTTGTTATAACAAACTGCCAAAACTTCCTGAAACAGAAACACAATCCAGGTTTCAAGCTAAATATAGCATAGTAAATAGCAGTACTTAGTACTGTAAGTCTATACACTTTAATTATGACTTGATTTGCTTGTTTGTGAAGACATTTTGGATGAGCAAGTTCGATATTGACAAATTGTGTGGATTGCACATTGCATTCAACCAAGGCATCCCTGCATAAATGGTCAATGCCCACTGTGTTTACCTTTGGTTCAAACCTGGGACATTTAATTATTCAATCTGCAAAGTCACTGCTTGACTGTTGCTTTAGCAAAGAACGGAAGTGTGCAGTGAGCTATCAATGAAATCCAGCCAATTAAATGTGGTAGAAATGCTTCCAAAAGGATGTCTTGTGCTAATACAGACCAGAGTGTGACCCACATGGTTTCTCCAGTGAACATGTGCTCTGGGATGGGACAGATGACCCAGTCCACTCTGTACTATTGTCCAAGTGACTCTTGTCCAACATGATGTGCAAAATTCAGGTTGAACTGGCTGAAGGAACTGGGAAGCAAACTGCAAGATACAGTTCAGTTTCCTCATCACATACTTCTATTTTGAGTTTGTCATTTACACTCAAAATGTATTTTAGTCAGATTTAAAAAAGGAGAAATGGAGGATAGAGCTAGCCCTTTCTGCTTAAATGCATTGAAGCTAATTTTGGAACACTACAAATGTTCATGCTGAGAGAGGGAGTTATTCAGATCAAATGTTTTCAGGTTTTTTTGTTGAGTCACTGTGCTTTTCCAGATCTTTTAAATTGGTCAAATTAATTTCGCAATTCTCTACTATTACAAGCAATAAATATATGTTTTTTTATTCTCTAGTAAACCAGGTTTACTAGTATGTTTTTGTAGGGATACATTCTCTCCCAGGATTCGAACCCATGTTCAGAACCCTTAACACTATTGCATGATGCTGACACAGAAATAATTGAATTCATTCCACAGTGATTAATCAGTGATGAGTTAATAAAGAACAATTGAAAAGTTGTAACAGCACAAATGCTTTCTATTAGCTTTGTAACAGCATGGCATTTATAACAAGGGCTCTAAATCATTTCAGTACAATTGATCAGCTAAACATGGTGAGCTGAACCATTTGTAGCTTTTCGTGCGTTCACGGATATTCATATTGCTGAACGTACAGTATAAACACGTTAAGCCGTGGAAAAAACAGTTTTCGTGGAAAGCACAGCTGAAGGGTTAATGGGGAGCTTGTGTTTCGGAATGTAATTCTATGCTATTTCGGTTTTCGGAAACGCGAAGTTCAGACTCACTGTGGTGAGAATGATTCATTACCGTGATAACCAGAACTTGTGAGAAGTGGTGCGTGGTATCAAATCTCTGTGAAATACATGCTGTACATGATTTCTGTAACGTGATTTTGTAACAACTATTTTATACGTATATTTTGAAAGAGACGGGTATATCTGTGTCAGGTGGCGCCCTTTGAGTTTGCATAAGAACTAAGTGGTTTTTACAAATGTTGCCTCCATTCTCCAACATAAAAGTGCAAATCAAGCACTGCTCTCAGAGTCGGATTCTTCTAAGAGAAAGGAAGATGTCCTAACATGGGCATTGTCTGTACTACAGTATCATCTCCAGGTTGAAGCTTGTGCATACCTGAGAGTGACACCTTTATGTGCTTAAATATCTACAACAATGTTGAGTGGAGGTACAAAGGACAAAGCATATAATAACAGATGAAGAAGGTGGAATGCAAATAATTAGGTTTAAACTTGCCTTTTTCTGTATTACCTTTTAACAAAATAGAGCAGCATAAAATGTATTGCCACACAGAAATATCTGGTGGAATTTGCTTTAGGTGCAGTGAGAGAACACTGATGAAGCAGAAATACAACACATACAATATTTTTAAAATATTGTATATAAATTGTAATAAATATTGAATACAAATTGAGAAAATGAACAAAAAAACAGTGATGTAAACTTGAACCTTACACTTGGCAAACAGATATCTGTCCAATTATTATTATTATTTCTTACACTAGACTTTCCACTCAAAGTGCTTTACAGGTAATGGGAACTCTCCTGCACCACCACCAATGTGTAGCCCACACCTGGATGATGCAAGAGCACCAGTATATTCACCACACACCAATTACGAGTGGTGAGGAGTCCCTTCTGCCTCCCTCCTCAGTTTAATCAAAGTCCTGCATTGGGTAAGAAGAAGACAATGCCAGCACCTTCCTCCACTGCTCAATGTACAGTCCATGGTGACACAGTCCTCTGCTGGGTCCAATACTGCCTCCTGCATTCCCCCCAGTTTTTCTCTCAGATCCTCTGCTGGGTGCTCCTGGCTGGGGTTTTTTGTCTGGGGTGTTGGCAGAGCTAACAGTTGGGGTCTAATTAACAAACTGCATAAATGCAAAAGGCCAGGTGTAAGGATACATTGTCTGCAGTGGTTCAAGTGGGTAGCCGCGTTAGCATGCGTAGGCTGCAAAGGAACAAGTAAAGGTTTATTCTATGTTGAGAAAAAAACACAACACTTCGGCGGTGGAGCCTTTTTTGCATGTGACACCCGAAGAAGGCCCCACAGCCCACATTGTGTCTCTTTTCTTCTCTTTTCAGAAGAGAAGGCATGGTTAAAATGTGTCATTCGATTCATCCTCTCAACTCTGAGCTGTGTGTTGCCAGGCGACCTTTGACATGAGGTAAAGCTCAAAGAACAGGGTCAGAAACAGGACAGCCCTTACTGGAACATTGGCCATTTTTTGGAACATTGCAGTCAATATAGTCCCTGACACCAGCTGTCTCACACCAATTTTTTTCACTCTGTGACACACCTTTTGTATATTTTAAAGTAATGTGGGACCTTGTGCGCCTACAAAATTCGGATGTCAGAAGGGAGGCAGAGCGAGAAAAGAAACCGAGGACTTTGCCCAGCTCAAGCTTGCAAAGGCAGTTGGTCGTATAACCAGGAGCTGGATGAGTGATGCGGTAGTGAAGTGATAGAGGAAGTGCAGACTGTATTTAACTCGTGAAAAAGACAAGGGTTCCTCAGATCTCTCAACACACCACTGAGCTGTCCCAGCCCTCCCGGGTTTTGCGAAATCTGCTCACTCTAGATAACAGACACCAAAAGTTAGCTGGCATCGAACCCAAGTCAAGCATCTTTTTCTTCACTGAGGTGAGTCCAGACCCGATACGCGTTTACATTCTCACCCCTATTGATTTTGGATATCTCCCTGTCAAAACTATATTTGTAGCGTCACTTCAGTGTTTAATTTCAGCGCAGGTGAGATTTGATTAAATCACCATTTAACAGAACAAGATTGCAAATCTTGATCTTTTAATGTTAGTTTTTAAGATTTTAAAAAGTTTTTTTTTGTTTTCAGGGTATAAATATTGCCTATACTGGTTTCCGAGAGCTGATGTTGTTACTGTGTATAAGCTGCTTTCATTCAAATGTCCAAAATCCTTGTTTATTTAGAAATGTTATGAACGCTAATTGCAAATTATACTAAAAGGACACGAACTGCTGTAACGTTGCTCTGTTAGAGTGAACAGTAGAATAGTGCTGCGCTTTTGCTTGTTGGGCCAGAAATAATTGATTTGAGAGACTTCGTTGTCCAGAGAACACAAGCAAGAAGCACGTTGGAGCCCTTTACCTCCGGCGACTTAAAAGGCTTTGCAATAGTTAGCAGCAGGTTGCTCATGTTTGCCAGTTCATTCCTTTTCAATGTCTTCATACTTTTAAAAAGTAGGTTTTGAATATGTATTCTTTCTCCCGGTGAACGTTTTGCGTGCTGGGGAAAAGCGCTGCTGGTTTATGTGTGAAGTAATGTGCCTCTGTGCTTGTGCCTGTGTGCTCTAACTCGCCCGTGGTGTGTGTGTGGCAGTGCGGCGCAACAGATCGAGCAGTGGACTCGAAGATGTGTATTGCTCGCTGTGGCAAAGCTCTGGGGATTCTCCTCATCCCCCTGGCGCTGGTCTCCATGCTTGCCAACACGCTGCTGCTGTTCCCAAACCTGCAATCCCGTTACCTGAGGGAGGGGCACATTACCAAATACGCTACCTTGGGAACAGGACTGTGGGCGTCAGGACTGTTGGTGAGGGTCTGCAGACTGATGTTTATTAATTAACAACGTGAACGTATGAACTAAAAAAAGACGCTGGTGAATATTGTTAATACTATCGTCACTGTCATGATAACTTAAAGTTATGATTAAGCACAAAATAACAAATATAATCTACTATTGCTTATTTCGAGGTCTTAATTTGTTTTAAAGTTCCAGTTAATTACCTCTAAGAGAACGCCTTTTTTATTGTAGTGTTTTCTATACAAATTAAAGCCATTGCAAATACTGTTTCATCTCAGATTTGCCGATTATGATCAAATCTCAGTTCAGAGAACTGTGTCGGATCTTTCGGCGTGGGTCTGTGGTTTCTGCAGATCTCAAACCAGGACAGGTTCACAAGTCACGTCTCTACAGTAGGTTAGGTTAGTTACCTTTTCTTTCCATCTTTCCAGGTTCTCCCAGCTGCGAGGGTGTTCATAACAAGCAGTCACAAGAAAGGGAGGTGCGGCTTTAGGAGTGAAGTAAGGACTCGTTTGTGTTCATGACCGAAATTAGCATTCTGACACAAAAATAGTCCAATATAAACATCAGTAAACATAGTTCAATTGTATTCCTGCTTCTGTGCGCGGCACAGCGATCCAGTGATTAGCAGTGCTACCTCGTAGCGCCAGGGCCCTGGAGTGATATCTGTGTGGAGTTTGTATGTGGGTTAGCGTGGGTTTACTCCACACAGTACATAGACAATACTTAATTAATTGGTTTCCGGGAAAATTCGCCCTGGTCTTAGTGTGTAAGTCTTAACGGATAGGCGTCCCGTCCAAGGTATAATTGTATCCGTTGATTGTCGGGATAGGCTCCGGTTCCCTCGAGACTCTGAACTGGATAAAGGGGTTAGAAAATGTATGGACTTTGCCATTGCAGCATACCTCACTGTAGGAAGTTAGATGAACATTTTTTTTTGTACAAGTTACTGTAATTTCTATAGCAGGCTGCGAAAGGCGAGTTTAATGCACTTTACTATGAAATCATCCGTGGTGGAAAGAAATACATTTTCTATTAAAGTGGAGTATGTTATTCAATTTAGACATCCGGAAAAGTAGCTTTTACCTTCATTCAAAATAATGTCATATACTACTGGCTCGTGTGATTGAGCGAAATGAAAACTGGGTGGGCGACTTGCTTCATCAGCACCCTGTGTCAGTGCCCGTTTGTTTGTGCCACGCAGATGCTGTGCTCGATTTTATATGCTGTTATAGCGATGGCAGGAGCTACGCTGTGTTTCGTAACGAGTGGGACTGCACTGGTTGAGGGACCCCTCTGCAAGTACAATGAGACCTATAGCAACGGCACACAGGAGCAGGTGTGGGGCACCCCGCTGGAGCACAAGACGCCCAGGTAAGGGTGGCTGTCACCGCGTCAATACAGCGCTAACAGAAAATCGACAGCTAGTTTTGAAATCTGTGCTTCTTTAAAGAAAAGTGTTGCAGCAACAACAACAACAACAACAAACACAGATTCTTAAATTAACTTAACCAGAACTTGCGAACAATCGTTTAGTGGAACAGAAATTTACACTTCACTTCCACACTTCACTCCAGGGAAAACATTGAAGTGGAAACACAAATGTGAAATTTTATCTACCAATTCACAAACACAAAACAATGAAACTAATAGATTGACTTTTCATTGAGTTGCTGATCAACAGTCAGAGTATGCACAGAATAACTGTTACTGTAATATACTGTACTGTACGCCCAGCTGTTCTTTAATTATTCCTGTTGGGTTTTGTTTTTCTGTTACTCCAACACTCTTTATAAACAACTTTACATTCTGCTGAGGACCTCTAGTTTTATATAATCGTCTGTAAGTATACACAAGTACACGCTGTAATTTGTCGGTAAAGAGCTTGTAAAATTAATACACATAAGCAAATACATAAAATACATATAACAACATGTACAATATATCCTGTAATATTTTAAATATCACAGTTTCTGTAAAATACATTTGTATTCATACATTAAATGTTATCCCTTGTGTATAAATGGCAAAGAAATAAATTACTTTTATGAAAATAAATGATTCGATTATAAGAACGTTAACATATGGAAACTTGTCAATTACTGTCTTGTTAAAGAAACCGCTTATACAGTGAATACGATATACAGCTTAAGATCATCTGTTCATAATGAGAACAACATCAGAGCCCTGGAGGACATTAGTAAAGGGAAGAAATATCTTGGTCAAAACTGAGTTTATTTTGATTGAGTGGGGGTTTTGATTTTACAATAAAGATACTCTCAAGTTGGTGCACTTGCTTCATGATTCCTTAATGTCCCTGAATGATCGTGCATCTACCTCACAGAACAATTAAATGTCTGTTACAGTATGGGCTGGTGTTGCTGTGGCTTTCTTTTGCATAGTTAACATTCAGGAGCTTGGATTTTAGAATTTAGACCAGAAGTTCTCAATCCTGGTCCTGGAGGTCCACATACTGTACTGTACCTGCTGGTTTTCTTTCTAGCTGAGCTTATTTACTTAAATCAAGTCTTAATTGAATTGATAAGCTGATTAAAAGTCTGAAAAGACTGAAAAGTCCCTTTTTGACTCAAGAGTTCGGGATTTGATTTTAATTAGGAAATGCAGTAGTTAAAAGGCTACCTCCAATAAGTTTAAAATCTGAAAACAGTCACACAGTTCAAATTGAGTCAATTACAAATTAAATGGTGTAGCTGACAACTTGGCTGGAACAGACACCAACTGCTGTGTGGGACTGCAGACTGGAAAACAATGATTTAGACATACAGTATGTGAATATTGTGGCTCACCACCACACTGTTCTGGTTGTCCAGGAAGTGGATTCACAGCCCACTGTATCATATCTCTTCTTCACTTTGTGCAGTTTCAAGGACATGGTACTGTGTGCTGGAAGGGGTTTTGGGATGCTTTATATGGCTGGATGAGCAAGGTGGGACACACAGATTCAAGAAAGAGATCTCAACTCCATTGACGCTTGTGCTGTTCTGTGTCCTGATTTCCCAGTCCCAGCAGCTGGGAGGAGGTGTGTTTGGAGCCGCAAGGCGTGGTACTCTGGAACGTGGTCCTGTTCTCCACCCTCCTGGCCAGCAGCGGGACACAGGCGCTGCTCTGCATCATCCAGGTCCTCAACGCCATCCTGGGCTTCTTGTGTGGGCCAGACATCAAGCACAACAAGGTAGGGAAAGGACTGGCAGAATTCCATTCTGTCAGGTCACAAACACTGCTGGGCACCGTAGGTTAGAAACAAAACAGGAGAGACCACCCTCAGCTCATGTGATCTGTCTAACATCCTGACAGGCATAAACATAAGTGGCTGTCCTAGCTTGATAGTGCTTTAACAAATATCCTATTACTCATCAACCTTCTACAATTTGAAGTTCTATAGAATGTTAAAACATCCTCAGATATTCAGCATCAAGGAGCCTACAGTAGGTTGGGGTTAGGTTAATTGTAGAGTTAGTGTCCATCTATAAATGCTTTACTATAATAACATACTACAAAACCTCAGCTGCAGGTACATTCATCATTAACAGAATATCTATTAACCCCTTCTTTATTCATCTTCAACCAATGTGTCACTTCTCACCACCTCTGTTGCGGGGTCTCTTGCATCTCCTGTTCAATGCCTTCAAAGCTGGCAAACATCTGCACACACACAATGCCACAGAGCCACTTTCACGAGCTTAGGCTTATCTGAATTTAAAAAAAATTACTAACTTGCTTATTGAGGAGTCAAATTAATTTGACTGCGGGATGTCGCCTGCTTGATTTTATTCTGAGACTTTGGCTTGAAAATTGCAAGGATACTTTGACTGATTGTCCACTGCAATGACAATTGTTGCTCATAATCTTATGGCCTAATGTCTGTATTAAGTACTGTATATGACGAATTGCAAACATTCTGTGTTGTAGGTCAGCCCAGTGTGAAGAAACAATCCATTCACAGAAGAGGAGGAAAAAGGCACTTTAAACCTTTGGAACAGTAGGAACTGACTGTCAGGTCTTTCTCTCAGTTTATTCAGTGAAACTGATTTTTTTCATAGGAGACTCGTTGAAAACTGCTGAAGAGAAAAGTATGGAAAACTGGTGCGGGTGCTGTTTGATTTTCGTTTCCCATGCTGTCGTCTGGCAATAGCATAGGACTCTGCACGGGGACAACATGCTTTCAGAACAGGATGAGGCCTGTGTCCAACACCACCTTTTCCTTAAGACTGTCCACAGAGAGCCTGCTCCACCACATCTCTGTGCCTGCTTAGTCATTCTGAAAAGATTTTGCTGGGGCTCACGTTCCACCATCAGTCTCTAAAAATAGTTCTGATTCTTGTTCTGTTTTTTTTTTTTGCCTTGTGGTGGCTCTGTCAGTAAAGATGCATACTTAGAGTGTAGTGTGGCCTCAAGGGCTCATCCAGCTATTAAACAGGCTGGGGCGGGGGGCAACTGGCCCCTTCTTGTTTGAAAGTGCTCTTTCATTTTTATCAATGGTAAAACTCTGGCTAAAGTTATTATCCCACTATGACTGGGACTCTGCAGTCATAGTTTCACATCACCTTCAGTGTGGTGTTGAGCAAGGTATCCTTAACTTATCACTGTTTGCTCAGGACAAACCAACTTTCCTGGTAAAAGGATGACTAGGAACCCTTCAAGTGTGAAATGAATGCATTTAAATTTACCAGCAGCATAATTTGTTCAATGTAAATCTTCCTCAATACCAGTAGACAGGAAACTGTAAAATTACTGATATGTGCATTTTTGGAAAGACCTATATGGAGTATTTATTAATGCTCACAATCTTTTTATGTATTAATTAATTTCATTATTAAAATATTATCATGAGTGATTTCAATATTTTAGCACCAGTTAAGTATTTGGATACTGGACGTCATGTAATATGCAGCGTTAAATTTGACAAATACATTAGGAAGAGCTGAATATACTGAGAGGCAATGGAAAAGCACTTCCATTAGTGAAATGTCTTAATGGCTCCAAGGAGCTTCATATGGACAATTCTTGCTTCAGCAGACTGAGGATCACAGCGATTATATCACACCATTAAAATGCCACACAGAAAACATGCTTGCATTCATCACTGCGTGTTACAAGTGAAGATTCCTCTTTGCGATCAGTAATCACAGCACCTTGCAGATGACTGGCGGAAGTCATTATAAGGTAGGGCCGGGTACTATACCCATGCATTATGATATCAACAGACTGAATGGCATTTTAGAAAATTACTGCACTGTTACATTCATTGCACACTTGTCAGCAATTCAATGGTAACAGCTGTTTCATCAGAAGTAATGCTGAAGAAACACTTATTTTACACCCACCAAAAAATCCCTAAGCATTTACTTTCAAACAGATTGACAACGATGGTGATATTACTGTATAATTTCCCAAAAATGGATAAATATTTCTTTTCGTTTCTGGTGTACATTGTTTGAATAAATGAGAATGTACTGTACCGATGATTTATTGATTGTTACAAAGTATTTTTTCTCAAATGCATGTCCTCTGTAATGGCCTCACACAGTAGTGCGCTGACATGAATGGAGCTGGAGTGAGATACCCTGCTCAGTGCAGAATCTCTGCTCTTAGGTTTCACAGTGAGATCTGGATTGATCTCACTCTCACCACAGACTTACAACAGGATGGGTTATGAAATAAGGCTATTGTGCAAAAGACAGGCCAATACTGGATGTGCTGGATGTTTACCAAGGGGCCAGCCTACGTCAGCAGACAGCCCTGGAGTGGAAAAACATAACAGACAGCATCATTAACCACACATCAGTGGATTATTCTTTATAGTCTGAAAAAGCGGTTCCTGCTTAAACCCAGACATTTTAAACCTTATTCTATCATGTAAATAGATTATCCAGCCCAATTATCCACCCCTTTAAGGGCCAACCTAAACAGTCGGCCTTTGCTTCTTTTTCACATCACAGCAATGGCAGAACTGAAGCATTAAAAGGAGCTCAAAGTTACCTGGGAAGACATAAACCCATTGCCTCATTGCAAGCTGAGGACACCTTTCCCAGCTGTGGACCCAACAGCCTGGGGCACTGTTTAACAAACCAGTTTTGGAGAAATCCCAGTCATATTTGACTAATGTCACAGCCCAGCTTGAACCAAAACTCCATGGACGACAGGACCAGATCTATTTACTGGAAGGGCGGTTTTAATGGGTGGGTTTTCCGAGTCTATAACCATGCTCTAAGATTCTGCAGCACAAGTGAACACATAGAGAATGGTGAAAAAGTGAAATCAGCCTCAGTTTTGGTGCAGGATGGAGGTGAGGACATCTCTAGGCAACACTGCAGTGATTCCATTTCCTGCTGCGCCTCATCTCAGGTTTCCCCCTGAAGCAACCTTCTCCCCTGGGGATGTTACGAATGAGATCATAGAATGTGAAGATGCTGAAGGAAATCTCTTCGTATGGGGTTTGGGTACCGTTCTCAAACAGGCATGCGAACGCTATGCCTGGGGGGCTGTCGAAGGAGTCCAGGGAAGGCAGCTCCAGGTAAGCCAGGTCTGAGTAGGCACTTGGACCCTCGTAGATGACCCAGGGCTCGGTCCAGCTGTCAGGGTCTCTGGGGAACAGGCTGAGGTAGATCCCCAGATCAAGACGGCTCGAAGGGAATGTGGGGTGGGAGTAGATCACCCAGGTAGGAGGAAGGAACTTTGCACTTTGACCTTTGTGGAGCTGACTCTTTTTGCCACAGTGTGAACTGGTGGGAAGAGCAACAGGGTTTCTGTCCAGCATGGTGCTGCGGGATCTTAGGAGTGTTTGGGATGCCTGCTCCTGCCATCCGGTGAGAGCTTTGTGGGTGGCGGACAAAGTCTGAGACTGGAAGTCAAAGGGTGCTGGGAAACCCACTGTACTTCCGTGACACCCATGAGGCGGCTCCACCAGCTTCTGGACCAGCTGCCCCTCCTGGAACACCGCCCCATCATCGAAACTCAGTGCCTGCACCCGGTATCCCAGCGGGGTGCGGGCATTGCAGTACAGGACATTTGTGCCGCTCTCTTCATCCACCGACACCATCTGGCACTCCACGGTCTTCAGGTTCGGTACGAACTCCCCAAAGCGCCAGGTGCGGCCATGAGTGTCGCTGTGGAAGCAGAAGGAGTGCGGTGTGGTGAGGCACACCTTGCCGAAACACTCCCGGCAGTGGATGTAGTAGGCATATGCTGGGACGAGGAGTCGTCCAGATTTCAGCTGAATGCCATGGCCCGGCCCCAGAGCAAAGGTGGCCCAATCTACCAAGAGAAAAAATAAACACCAACGCACATATGAAGCAGGGAGCATGTGAGGTGTGTGTGCATGTATGTCCATCCCTCCATTTTCTTAGTCAGGGACTTCTAAGCCAATTCATCTAATACAGGGTCATGGGGCAGCCAAGGTGGGGTACACTCTGGACAGGAAGCCAGTCCACTACAGGGTAGACAGACACACACTGACAGAACCAGAACCAGTTCTCCCAGAAGCCAATTAACCTACCAGTATGCCTGTGGACTGTGAGAGGAAACCAGAGCACCCAGGCGACACCCACTCAAACACGAAGAGAAAGTGCAAAGTCCAAGCAGGTAGCACCCCAGGAAGTGAACTCAGGGACGCAGCACTGTAAGGCAGCAGTACTAACTACTGTGCCATCATGGCATCCTATGCATGTACGGGATTTTCTTTTTATTTGTACCCAACCCTGTTTCTGGTACTTGCACAGATGTCTTCAATAATAATAATAATAATAATAATAATAATAATAATGAATGATAATGTGAGAATTTCACTGCCACACAATGGCGAAGGGGCAGACAATCTTGGCATTTCCACTCCATTCCCTTGGGAGACACTGTCTGCTTCATTCACCATTCCGCTGAGGATCACAGGAGTGACACAGCAGGCACGAAATCATACAGGCTTGATTGGAAAACAAAACTATGTCTCTGCCCCTTCTCTCTCTCACATTCATCCTGTGCATCCCTCCTCCATCTGTACAGCTGCCCCTTGGTCACTCTTCACTCTGCAGGGGGTTTCAGCTTCATCGTCTTACTGGCAGGGAGCTGCCCCTCAGCAGAGCGGGTCGAGTCAAATTTACTGTGACTAAAACAATTAAGCATTTTCAGTGCACTGAACACCTGGGTGATGTTATTCCTGGCGAACAGTGTAGCAGAAGAAGAAGAGGGGGGCTACTCTCTGGTTGGAGAGAAAATAAGATTGAATAACAGGAAACAGTGTGGCAACACACTGTGCACCGGTGTGTTTAAGCGCTTGCAGGAGCCGAAGCCGAGGCGGGAAGACGACCCACCCTCGATGGTGTCTCCGATAGTGCACTGAGTGAGATCCGTGACCGAGCTCCAGCTCCGCCCTTGGTCCCCGCTGGAGACGTAGCACAGCCGCGTGACGTTCTTGCCGGTGATGAGCTGCTGGGACTCGGAGGTGTGTCCCAGCACGGCGATGAAGAACAGGAAGACGGTGCCGGTGAACTCATCGTAGACTGGGCAGGGATTCATCGACCGGTAGCCTCTCAGCTGCGCGGATTCCAGTGCTGTCATGTCCTCCCACTGCAGAGTGGACATTTTTAGTCAACTTTTTTTCTGGTGTTTTTAAATTCACAAATCATCCGCTGCTAGTGGAAGAATTGGATTCCACCCCCTCCAAAGTGATCAGCTAAATGGGCTTCACGGCTCCAGGCTCTTGGCTCTTGCATCTCTCCCAGTTAAAACTCGAGAAAGAAAGTGAAATGACTCGTTATATTGGACTGTATGCTGATTGCCTGCAATTTGCATACAAGGATGTAGGGGAGCAGAAGTTGATGAAATAGTCGCATTGTTAAACGTGGTCTATTAGTGTTATGTTCAAGCAAAATTGTTTGTTAGAATTCAGTTAAAAGAATTTCAAATGGAATGGCAACATGAATTAGTCAGGTTTTAGAATTTTTAACGAACAGCTCTCAACGTGAAAAGTAGTGGAATAGTTATCTGATGTTCGTTGCAGTTCTACCAAATTACCACTAGGTGGTGTCTTGTCCCTTTTATTGTACCCTACCGATCGTAAGAGCAAACAGATCCATATCATTAAGTCTGCTGAAGACAGCCCTGTGATCAAGTGCCCATCCTAAATTATATTATTGAATGGTGAGTTCTTTTTGGAGTTAAATTTTTTTGGGGGGGAAAAACGAACCCCTCATTGATTTTAGGAGCACTGCAATCTCACTCCAGCCGATTTAATAAATGGTCAGACTGCAGAATTCTTTGATGATTATATGTAACTGGAACAGGTCATAGATAAAAAAATTAAGAAGGTACAAATGCTGTGAGGCTATTTACATAAATGGTCAATGGAAACGTTTTCTAAGAATACAGCATTTTTAAGGTATACAAATGTACAATATATTAACACTCCTCTACAAAATGTTTATTGAAAGTCTCTTAATATACTGTTTTGCTTGTTGGGTTATTAACATCAGTGCTGTAAATTGTAATAAATTGTGAAAAATAATGAAGACAAGCAGCAAAATCGTTAGGACAAATCAGATCAACATACATCCCTTCTACAAACACACCTCAACCCTCCACTCTCAATCTATACTAATTAATTTTCCTATCTGGGGGACACTTCAATACTTCAATAGGTGTAACAGTAAGAGGCTTAGGAAACTGGTGTTCTCCCCTGCAGTTTTACTCTTATTGTAACATATTTGCTATCTCCTGAAAGTATGTTAAATACTGTATTGGAAAATGTTGTTTTTGTTGTACTGTTGTGCTGCAAAACAAATTGCCCTTAAGAAAAAATAAAGCTTGAATTGATTTGAATTGAAAGGGAGAGACCCCTGAGATTACCAGTTACCCCCACAATGTTTAGCAAAAGCTGCATCAAAAAGCACACAGTTCATCAAATCAATTATATTTCGTATTTAATAAGAGTCTGTTTTATTCTAATTTGGTTGAATATAGTGACCTCATTCACATAAAAAGCTTAAAAACAAAAGCTATAATTTAAATTGACCCTTTGGTATTGTTTTCTAGTGAGAAAACAACATGCTGAAATGTTGTTTTGTTGTTTTTTTTTCCGAGACAAACACAAAAAGAAGTTAGGTTTGTCCAGTTGGTTTCACAACACCGTGGGTTCGTGCAATACAAATCTTTCATCTCCTTTGGCAGAAATGTCTTCTGTTAGTAGGCAGCCCTTTTATGCCTGTGCTCATCCATCGGCCTGTGGGGTCTCGCGCTGTGCAGATGGGGGCAGGAGCGCCTCACCTCTACGTAGTTACGGTAGAAGACTCCTCTGCGCAAGGCCAGCAGGTTGGCCTGGGCGTCGTCGGGGCTGAACCGCTCTTCACAGAAAGCCAAGAAAGTCGTCGAGCCTGGCAGGTAGAGCAGGGCAGGGATTCTGTAAGTCACGCCACTGGCTTCCTTCCGAAACAGCACGGTCCGGGCTGGGAAATATGGCGAGCCCATTGCTGCCGAACACAGAGACACTAACACAGAGAACAAGGCATTTTTTGACACACGTGACCATTTTTGTAAGAACCTTCCTGTTATCAAACACTCGCACCTTAAAAAAAGCTTGTGTCGACAACATCAGAAGAATAAAAAAAAACACTGTTAAAGTGGAAAACTTACAGTTTGATCCCGGTCAGAGCACAGAAGAGCTCTGCTGAAGAGTCTGATGTGAGCGTGCAGATAGGAGTGAGGGCGAACAGCTATAGTCCTCCCTCTGCTGTCCAGTGTCAGTGCCCAGCACTGAGCCCCATTCACAGAGTGTGGGCAGGGTGCCTGCTGACCCAGAAATCAGCTCAGCTCATCATTACTACAGCTCCGCATGCATCAGCACACCAGGGCATTGTTGTGTGGCAAATATACTGGCTCCCCAAATGAAAGGAAGAAAAGAAGCTCATTAGGCTGGTCCAGTTAAAGAAAACGTACTCTATGTCTTTTGTTATTACATTGAAAAGGACCTCCAGCTGTAGCACAATTTGAATGCATTTCTTTTTCTGCTTTCTGTTTGGTCTCTCAAGCATTCTTTTAATGGCATTATCATTCCATCTTGTTTACTGACTGTGTGTTGCGTTAAACTTCGCAACATAGGAAGCCACTCGAGACTCTTGGAAAACCAGCAGATGTTAAAACAGCAGCTAATCTGCTTGCTGTTTTCTGACACAAGTCCAGACATGCTGTGTTGTCACAAGAGGCTCGGTTATCTGCTTTGACTGCGGGGCCGGGAAAGATGGTTGCCTCTTGTTTCTTTTCTAATGACAATGGAATTATGTGTTCAGGTACATAAATATGTTCTAGTGCAGTTCTCTCACAGAGGAACAGGACCCTCGGCTGTAAGTAGCTGAAGTTCTTACACTTGTTGTCTTAGCTGTTGTAAACACATCTTAAATACATAAATCTTGTACCCAGCTCACCCGGGTGAAAACTAAGATTGGTATCAGAGTGGGGGTCCAGGTGCCTTCACCTGTTGTATGTTTGGAGCCAATTTGTTTGTCTGGAGGGCGCCATGGTGGTACAATGGTTAGAACTGCTGTCTCAGACTGCTGGGGCACTGGGTTCAATTCTGCACCAGTGGTGCTGTCTGCGTGGAGATGTATGTTCTCCTCATGTTCACGGGAGTTTCCTCTGGATGCTCTGGTTTCCTCCCACAGTTCAAAGACATGCTAGTAAGATGATTGGCTTCTAGGAATAACTGGCCCTGATGTGAGTTTCTGGGTTTGTGTCTTGTGCACTGCAATGGACCGCTGTCCCAGCCAGGGTGTATCCTGTCTTGCACCCATGGCTTGTAGGACAGGCTGTGGCTCCCTCATGACCTTGTAGGATAAAGTGGTTAGAAAATAGGTGGGCAGATGTTTGGTTGGATGTCTTGCAGCTGTTATGGACTACTTGTAAGAGAGAGGTGATACTACAAGCAGTGTAATGACAAGCAGAGTGTCACTTGTTTCTGGAACCCTGAACAGCATGTACATGGTGACAGAGTGACTGGGTAAAATAACGAGGCTTGAAATTAACTAAAACAAAGACATGCTGTTTGACCAGCCAAACATCCGACTCCTCTGTTTCCCATACTGCATTAGTGCTAACTGTTGTGCATCCTACAGTGCTGCTCTTCAATGCAATGTAGTGCAAGACTTTAGCAAAAGCTGCAAATGACCTATATTTGGGAGAATTTCTCTTTTGAGAAGATGGTTCGTGAACAACCTCTCCAGAAAGATAAGTAAGCAATCAGTAGAGGGAGGCTGAGGCCTTGACTGCAGTTCAAACACTAGGTTATTGAACCTGAGGTCTCAGTTCTACAGTAGAACCGCAGGGTAGAGAACTGCCAAATGTAAGGCTGAGACGTAATGTGTTAATCCGCTTGTGCTGGGCTCAGAAAAAAATGAACCAACACACATTCTTAATTAAATAAATACAGTATATGCAACATCTCATAAACATCTCATGAGTAATGGCCATGCCCCAAAACACTCCTTGATATATTTGTATACATGCATATGCAGTAGAGTGAAAAAGAGAACTGAAGGACTATTGAAACATCCATAGACCAAGTAATTAAGCGCTTATTATTCCTAATATCAGGAGTATGAGGAACCAAAAACAAGTGATGGAAACTACTCCAGTAGCAGCAGATCATCATGTAACTGAAATCAGAGAAGCCATCAGGGGCATCAACAGCCAAAAGTGCAGAGATGGCAGTTTCTTATACAGCTTGACAGGATACCTACCACAGGGAGCACCTGTATTGATCCAATCTTTTCTGAGAAACCGTGACAGTGAAAGGAAAACAGGTGAGTGAACTGCTTGGGAACTAAGAGTGTAACATGGCGTGCTATGAAATTATGCTTTTAAAACTATAGGTAGAGTCCAAGATACGGGCTTGTAATTGTGAGAAAATGGAGTATAAAGGAATGCAACATTTTAAAGAGAAGTAAAATTGAGTAGGGCCGTAGGGGACATTCTACAGGGATTAAGAAAGGGAAGATCTTGGTTAGCAAACGTATTGTAGCTGTCCGGAAGTGGGCTGGCCCGGGATTCTGAGCACAGGACCTTGGACAGTCTATTTTGCAGACTCATTTCCCCTTTTCCCCTCCTCTGTAAATAGGGGTCCCCTTTGCCAAACCCCACTCTGAGCAGTTACCACTATTACACTTTCTCTCCACTTTGGTATCTTTCTCCCCTTTCCCTGAGTGACTAGCACATCCATGTACCTATAAAGGGCACTAAACTAGTGAGATGCAGTTCCAGTCTTCTGCCTCTCTTGTTACACCGCCGCCTGGGCAGAGGGAAATTAAGGGCTACAATATTAAGAGGTTTTTGAAAAATCCGCAGCAGGAATGGACAGAAACAGTATTTATAGTATACTGATTATAGATAAAGGGTGAATTCTCACTCTGGGAGATCAATCTAGGTTATGTAATTAGTGTTTCACGAAGAAGATAGATGAGATCCTCGGATCAATTAGTTACGACTCGGTAGTATGTTTTTCCATCTGGTGACATGGATAAAACCCAGTCATTGCACCTGTAACACAGTACTATTTCCGTTAAGCAAATATATAAAAACGCGATGTTTAAGTGATTCATCATGATAAATATTTAAGAAATAACCGGGGAAGTAGCTTTCAAGTGCGTTATTATTTAGGACTACATATACAATGATGATTTGCTGCAAATTGACATTCATGACCTTCGACGTCTGACGTCATTACAATGCGCCAGTGGCCCGGTTCTAAGGCAGAGCTGCACGTGATAAAGGTAAGTAACAACGTTAACAGTAAAGAAGTTTCTATTAACTTTTGATTAAAAATGGAATTATTCACGGATATCAAAAATCATGCTTAACTAATAGTGTTTACCAAGCAGTGAATAATGGCAGATTAGTTACACCTTTTTTTACTTTAGGCCACTAAAAATAAAAGCTTTTTCAGTAGTGACAATTTATTGGGTACGGCTAAACGCTGTCAGATAATTGCGTAGCTCTGTACTGTCTGGTAGAATTAAATCACTTTAACAAACTGCTTATTCTGCATTTTTCTGTACATTAAGAAGTGCATAATATTTAAACTTCTCAATACGTGAACAACGTATTGTTTTAGTGCATGTACTAACCGTACTTGTAGTACGACACATTTTGTTATATAAACCTGAGAGTGCCTGTAATCCACTTAGTCCTCTTATCTCAGGAATGCAGTTATTGTTGAAGAAAGTGAAGCATAAGGGGATAAGCGAATTAGAGAGTAGTTTTATTTAACTGGAGCAAATAAGCAAACATTAACGAACTCATTCCCTGATAAATTCAGTCTGGCTGATTGTTAATATGTAATGGACAGAACGATTCTTGTATTTCTGTATGTGACGCATATTTCAATAGAAAGTTAAAGACTGGTCTCACAGTGGAATTGTATGCATGAGTTCACAGTCAGTAGTGTTTTCTTTCCGGGTTATAGGAATTTGGGTGGATTTCGTTAAACTGATCATTTTGTTTTTTTTCTATGTATATATATATATGCTGAGATGTATTAAAACTATTTGAATTTGTTGCATTTTAATGCCTCTCTGTATAATATGAACAAGTAATTGTACAAAAGTGGCATCGATCCCTTTTTTTGGAGGGATGGATTGGCAATTCTGGAGGTTCTGGTCTGTGGTGTGATTTTTTTTTTCCCAGAGAAAAATATACTGACTCTTGATTAAGAAACCATTCACCCTGGCACTTGTTCTGTCATGGTTGTCTCAGGCGTTGCTCCTACTGTTGCTCGCAGGTGTACTCCTACGGGCATGGCGTGCAGATGGAGCGACGGGCACTCCTCACCGGTGCTGTGTGTGGCGGCGGCAGGCGATGAGGGGCTGGTGGTTTCAGGCGCCGAGGGTGGCGAGGTGACCCTTTGGAGCGAGGAAGGTGCCCCCCTGGCCCAGACCACACTGGAGGGGGGTGGCGACGTGACATGCGCCGCGTTTTCTCCGGCCTCGCCCAGGAAGCTGTTTGTGTCTCATGGGGAGGCCATCAGCATCCTGGACCCCAGGGCCCTGAAGCGGCCGACCGACGTGCTGCGCGTCGGGGATGACGAGATCAACGGCCTGTCGGTGAACGAGTCGGGCAGCCTGCTGGCCGCGGCCGACGACTCGGGGGCCGTGCGCATATTGGAGCTCGCGAGCGGGAAGGTGGTGCAGTCCCTGCGCAGACACACCAATATCTGCTCCTCTGTGGCTTTCCGGCCCCAGCGGCCCCAGAGTCTGGTTTCCTGTGGGCTGGACATGCAGGTAAAGTAGGAGCTTGAGTGAGACACGTCTGCAGCCTTTTCATTTCTGGGACAGGCTGTGAGCTGTTGTGTCTCAAGACTTGCCTAATGAAAGGCTGTGATAGCAGTATTTTCAGGAAGACGTATTAAATTTCCAGTCTATCACCATTCTACAATTTCTGATTCCTGCTGTATCTTCTTCCTCTAGACCAGGGGTTCTCAAACGTTTAGGACCAAGTACCATCCCTGATCAAACCAAAGCGTCCAAGTACCACCCACAAGTCATCTTCTCATAGGAACCACAGAAAATCTCAATGATCAACATGAGTGCGCGCACACAAGCACACACACATATATATTAAAAACAGCACTGAGCACTTAGATAATTTGGATTGTACCGCCTTGTAGCCATTTTCCGACGCTTACTAACACTAGCAGCGCTGTCTGTGTCAGGTTTAGCAGAAGAACTAGTGTCGGTGGTCAATAGGGTTACCATACATCTGGATTTTCCCGGACATGTTCTCTATTTTGATCCTTACATCTCCCTCCAGGGGAAATTTTCAAATATCCAAAAACGTCCAGGATTTCGACCACTTTATTTTCACCATGAGGAATAATTAACAAAAGTTTTAAAGATGGTAGATGAGGAGGTTAAAAGGAGCGAGATCATTTATTAACTTCTCTAGTTCGCTTTGCGACCTACTTTGTCGTTCAGTTTTTGCCTGTACGTGTATGATTATGTCACGAGAGAGCGAAATCAGGGATAAATATCAGTGTCTTTACTCAGTCTGTGCAGAGCAGAAGCATTCCCTCGAAAGGCTCTCTATTTTGTTTCTCGTTTTCCTACCCTCAAAACACAATGCCAAAGCGAAAGTGTAAATTCACAGTAAAATGAAAAAATAAATCTCTGTTTTTTTATTTTTTATTTTTCCGTGTGCCAGGTACACGTCTTAGGAACCTGAATGTTTGGTGTGTAAGCCTGTTACTTTTGTCTCTGTGGCAAATAAAGGTGTACTTGACTTGCAAGCTCATGTTGACTCAGACAAACACAAAAAGACAATTCGAGGAGAGAGTTCATCAACCAAGTAAACAGATTCTTTTGTAAAATTTGGCAGCAAAACAGAGGATACTGTTATTGCAGCAGAGGGGGCTTATGCATTTCACACAATTCAACATCATTTCAGTTACTTTGCCAACATAAAAGGTGGGATATTATGAAAATCCTCTCCATCCCGACCCCCTTCCCAGACAAGGCAATATGAAAGTTTCTCAGGGTGTCCTCTTTTTTTGATGTTCAAATATGGTAACTCTAGTGGCCAATCTATAATGCTCCTCGTTCTCAACGGGAGTGCATGATTTATCGGAGCTGGCGTCAGTGCTCTTGGTGTCTATTCCTTTCAGCCATGACGTAATACTTGATTTTTGCGCGGTATTCATTTTCGATCACTTGTGATGTTGGCGAATGTAGCGCTAAGCTGTGTCTCCGAAAGCTCGAGAGTAGTATGAACTCTCAAATATTAGCTCGCGCTGTATCGACGTAGCTAGGAACATAGGCTGCATATTTGACACAAACACATTTTATTAAAATAGAAAATATGAAAACCCGTCTCAAGCTTTCTGAAACCGATTAAGTAAACCACAGATGAAAAATGTACATAATTTTTAATTATTCAGTTTTTAATTCCCAATTTTTCAGTGAACACAACAAATTTCCAGGGTCATCTGGCGTACCACCTGGGGGCCTTCCGCGTACCACAGTTTGAGAGCCACTGCTCTAGACGCATTGAAGTCTGTAATCAGTCGCCGTGAGATATGGTGTAGTCTTGCCCCCTGCTGGTGTTACCAGTTAACACAGGAAGGCACTTTCTTGAGAAAAACTACTAAATGAGTAAAATAAAGTGTTTCCCCAATGCAGTTAAGGTTGTGCTTACAAGCAGTTCAAAAATTTCTTATTACAATATGAAATCTAAACTGAGAAGCTAACAAGTCTAATTTAAAACCAGTCCCCAACAAGAGAAGGAGAACTAGACTGAGGAACTGCACTTCCTCTGTTCTTGTGTTATGTTCTAATTAGAATGGAATCTTCCCTTTGAAGAAATTAATTGGATAATAATTTAGTATAGTTTAACTGAAACCAATAAGGAGAAAACATATTTTTCTTTATATAGGCTACTTCACCATCTTTCATGGAATGCAGTTTAATGTTCGAATGTAAAGTGAATAAGCTCAAGTGAAATACAATACCTTAATATTTTTTAAGGTCATGGGCAATGGCCAGTTCATATTTTTTATTTTAAATGATTGTTTTTGTTGAACTAATGTAGCACTGGAACCCTGGGTTTAATTCCTGGGATGCTATGTGTATGGAGCTTGCATGTTCGCCCCATGTTCATGTGGGTTTTCTACAGGTGCTCTGGTCTCCTCCCACCATCCAAAGGCATATTGGTAGGTTAATCGGCTTCTGGGAAAAGTGGCCCTGGTGTGAGTGTGTGCCCTGCGATGGACTGACTTCCTGTCCAGGATGTATCCTGCCATGCACCTGTTGCTCGCTGGGATAAGCTCCAGTCCATAAAACAGTTAGAAAATGGATGGTTGATGTTTGCATTTTGTTAAATTGTACTTTGAGAAACCTTAGAAATCATGGCATAATCAAGATATTATCGGCTCTCAGAAAACTACACCTTTGTCCATATAAAGCCATTTTCAAAGTGAGATGTTCACATTACATTGTACATATACTATGATAAAGCAATTTTGTACTGGGAGGGTTGTGTAGTTGTGGTTTAGTATAGTGCTGTGATCTTTGCACCTCTGCAAAGCACACAGTGCATGTACTTGTCATCCTTGTTTAAAGAATTGAAAGAACGTGAGTTGACTGAACTTTACTCTGCAAACAAGTTACACCTGCCCTTGGCAAAGAGGAGGTAAATTGGCCAGATCAGGCATTTTGTCTTTGTAGTCCAGTTTTTGTGCGTTTTAGATGTCCCAAAAGGTAGCAATTGTGAGAAAACTGTCTTGTTAGTCATAAGCAACCTGTTATATTTATAATAACGTCACTTTATCTTTTCGCATACCCAAGCTTGCTCTCCATGAGACACACAGACAGGGAGAGAGCCTGGGGTCAGAGCGCAGGGTCTGCCATTGTACGGCGCCCCCGGAGCAGTTGGGGTTAAGAGCCTTGCTCAGGAGCCCAACAGAGTAGGATTCCTCTGCCAGCTGCGGGATTTGAACCGGCAACCTTACAGCCACAGGTGCAGATCCTTAGCCACAGAGCCACCGCTCCACCCCGAATATATTAATATATTGCAAATCCAAGAAGGTACAGAGATCAGAGGCCGATTTGTTAAATTAGGTTGATGAGGTAGAGGAGAGAAAGCTTAAAGCAAACAGAACATAGAAGTCCAGGGTTCTTTAAAGGAGCCTTTACTTGTTTGCTTTCATCTCCTGCATTGTCTGACTTCACATTTTGCCACAGGGTGTGAAATTAGTACTCCATTTCCCGTAATGGACAGTGTGTGTTTTTGCCAGGAGCTGAAATAAACACACAGCCCATCCATTACTTTTTAACACAGTTTGATTTCACAATTCTTTTTGTAATGTCTTTATCAGAAAAAAAGAACTGCACACAGTTGTAATAACAATCAAGTAAGTTATTATTTGTTTGCACATTTTAGTAATTGTTTGCTTTTAACAAATATTTTTCACCTATTATTTTATTAATTTATACTTTTATTAAAGGGGAAGGCTTCAGTTTGCAAAGGTATCTGCTGCTTGCTGTGCTGCATCAAGGCCCCTTTGACTTGACTGGCACCCGTGTTTTACAGCATTGCCATGGAGAGTTGTATCACCTCTTTAGTGGATCTTGTCTCTGCTGTAGGGCATTGTGGAGTGTTGGAGGAGACCACGCGTGGTCCTCACCTCTGCACTGTGCTGGCTCTGGGATCATTTTGTAGATCTGAATGAATGGGATATAAAAATGAGATTTATTGATTCTGAATTTTAAAAAGATAAAATTTAATCTGTGCATTAATTAATGTTTAAAAGCACATTGTTCTCTAAATGAAGGTAAGACAAGTAGGTTTAGGTAAAGCAATCCATTGGTTCTTTAAGGGAGCTGCTAAGGAACATTTCTACTGTGATTCAGGAATATTACTTGTTACAGAACATCAGAATCGTGACTGTGTCTTTTTTATTTCCTCTCCTTGTGGTGTGGGGAGGAGGAGTCCTGTGTTCTGAACCAGGGAGTGCATTTGTTCCTCTCCTATCTACAGTATATTGTGTAGATAAAGTCCACACTAGAGCCACTCAGTGGCATATCAGGCCAGAGCTCATCCTAGTTTCTGTAGTGTTAAGAGGATAGAGAGCACATGACTCCCTTCCAGGATGAGATGCTGGTCTATATATTATATCAGAATGTAAATCTGACACACCACTGCTTACATGTGCTCAGTGCCCAGTGCCCAGTTAAAATGACTTCTTCCTGTTCTCAACTTGTGCAGACATTACATTGGATTCCTTTGGCTTTTACTTTGATTTCCGGAAACCAGAATTGATCTTAAAGGGGAGGTCTTAACTATTCTAGCATGTTAGTTAAGAGACCCCCTTTCAAAATCCAATATTATTCTGGTTTATTTGTATCGTTTCTGTAACTTAACTTAGTAACAGGACAGATTGGTTTATAGAAGCCAGGTTAAATTTTGTAACTTCAATTCATAAAAATGGGAAGATCTGCAATTATTAAATCTCTGGGTTCATCCTTAATGAGAGTTCATATATCATCTAGTTAAGTTAAGTCTAGTTAAGATTGTGAATCACGAATGATATCATAGCCCTATATCACGGGCCTGCATCCTTGGAGCTGCGGAGCCACAGTCCTATAGGTTTATTAAGCAGCCTTAATGGCCATTGAAGCTGTTCTGTGGTTAAGGAGCAGGGCTCAAATGAAACTGGAAAAATACCATCAAGCCCTTGTAAGCTATTCCAACATTAAACAGCTTTATCAGTGCATTTTTTTGTACTTTAGTGCTATACACTTCTGTTCATACAAATAAAAAACCCCAATAAATCCATTCAGGTTTTTAAGTTGTTTGACACAGTGTTACACAGGAAATGGGAAATATAAGACTGGAATCAGCTGGGATCTTGAGCAGGTCAAGTGGAATTGAGGTTAGAGTCTTGACTAAAAATGGGTTCAAGCTGCTGGTTCTTCTGGTTTTCATTTCATTAGAGCTCCAGTAAATGTGTCTTTGTCCCTGAAGATTTTAAGCTAAGCATAAAGTCTTTCTGTGCAGGTGATGCTGTGGAACCTGCAGAAGTCCCGCCCTGTCTGGGTTCTCAACCTCCAGGAGCTGACGGAGGAAGAGGAGGACCAGCAGCAGCCTGCTGGACAGCTCTTTAACCCGCCCCTGGTGCACTGCGTTGCGGTGGCCGACTGTGGTAACAGATTTGCCTGTGCAGCTGAAGATGGCAGGGTGCACTTGCTCAGGGTGGGGGGCTCCAGGTTTGAGCGGCTGAAGGCCCTGAAAGCTCACAGCCAAGGGGTGTCACAGGTCCACTTCCTAAACTTCCTGCCCCACCCTGACTGGCTGGTGTCAGGGGGGAATGATGGGAAGGTCTTGCTGTGGGACATCAGCAAAGTGGGATCGATTTCTGAGGACAAAGGCAAGGCTAAATTCCCAAGGAAAAAGGCAAAGAACATGCACTCCCCCAAAAAGGACGAGGTCAGTGCCAAGCACGGCAGGGACATCCAACCAACACTCAGCATCAACCACGGAGAGAAGGTTAACTGGGTTTGTCCTGCTCGGCTGAAGGGAGAGGGCAGGATCATAGTGGCAGATCAGAGCAGCTCTTTATCGGTGTACCCTTTAGAGCTGTAGAGAAGATGTACAACTTTGTCTGCTTTCCCAGTTAGATCTTCAACACACTCAAGTCCAAGTACAAGGTGTAATTTGTATCTTCAGGAAAAAAATAATAAAACTATCTGAAGCAAGCCATTGGAGGCCTACATCTCATGACGCCACGTTATACCGTAAGAATTAGAAGAGTTAGAAGTGACAAATCACTAATGGCGTAAATGTAGAATGTGTTTTGCTACTGCAGCCTGGAAGCAAATTTGTTACATGCAAAAAAGAACAGTGCAGCCAGACTCCTCACAACAAAAAAAGGTGAAAGGTTTTTAGGTTTTTTTTTTCCCCTCCCAGGCTACCAAGTGAAATTGCTAAAGGAGAGACAAAGTGCAAACATAGTACAGAGTCAGCAGATAATTTTTACCACGACCTGTTTTTTTTATCAGTGAGATATTGGACAGTGTATTTTAAAAGATGGAATTCTTGCAACATAAGAAGAGGATTTTGCTTAACTGCTTCTGGGCCGCTGCAAAGAGGCTTTGGAGATCATAGCTTAGGCCATCCAGTCCATAGCAACAGTACCCCAAAATTAGGAATGCACTCGGCAAAAGAGAAACCTTCATTATGGTAGAGTGGAAGCCCAACAGGGCTTGTTTTATTAATGCATGATCTATGATTTATATTTGTTCTAATGGAAGTGACAGCATTAATGGCATTGTGTGTTGTGCATTTATGAAAGTACTTCACAACTAAAGCATTAACTTCTTTAAATGTTAACCTATCCTGTGAAATTTTGCTAAACACTAAATAGCAACAATGGACAACAGCAATGTTGAGGAAATGATGTATTATGTGTAAAGAAGATCATTTGACAAACTGAAAATTTGGGAATCCAAATTTGAATGAGTGTATAAGGATTGCAGGCTGGATAATGGCGTTTACAATGAAGATTCAGGAAGGATGACAGCAGTAAAGTTCGCTCACATCTCGGTTGTTCTAGCTCATGATCTTTTACTGGTGCCATTTCCTAAATCTTAAAAAAAACTATAAATCCTGTACAACAACCTTTTTTACTTTGCATTAGTCTTTTGCATCTTCCTCCACCCCATTTCTACCTGTGCTGCTGCTGCTTGGCCATTCCTGACTAAGCAAGGGGGTTCCAGCCTCCTCCTCCTGCTTCAAGGGAGCTGCCATCAGCCAAGCAGGTGGAGGCACATTTACTGTGACAAAACCAAACCAACTTTTCCAATTCACTTAATTCTTTGGTGTCCATCCTCAGTAATATGGAGAAAGCAGATTACAATCAGAGTGTCAAAGGATCTGTTTGGTCTCAATGCAAAGTGTGCTGGTTTCCTAATGAAAAGTTACATTTGCTTACAAATATATGTAAGCAAAAACACATCTAAAAACAACTTTAGAAAAAGTAAAAGTCATGTAAAAGACAAATGCACTGTTGAAGACTGGGCAGACACTTGTCAAATACAGTGTGATCAGCCCAAGGTGAAAGCATGGCCTGGAGGTACCAGTAATGTATAGTTGTCAGTGAGTGGCACTTCCTGCCTAAAGAAGCAATGGGTGCACATAATCCATTGATCTTTATTGTGCTCATCAAAGGATTAAAAAGGGCCTGTGGAATTCTAGGACATGTATCAGGGTGGTGAAGAATTTTGAAACAGGGCTGGTAATATGATTAAACCAATTTAACCAACCAATGAGACCTTACTTAGCATGATGTTTACAGTTCTGGTTATCGTGTTTCAAAATAGGCATGGTTAAGTGGGAGGGAGTTCAGAAAAGAATCATTCCTGGTTTGAAATAAATGGTCTACCCAGTAAGATTAAAAGAATGAAGATGATTAAGTGAAAGCGGGTTCCATTTCCAACAACAGAGCAAGGTCTGAAGACACCAGTGGGAGTCAAGAGGAAGTACATACTGGATTGAAAATAGGATATGTGTCATCGTGCATTATGGAAATCTCATATACAGACTCCCACCCTGTAGTCTGATCTCATCACATCTCGTGAAGCTCAGCAGACACTCAGGCTTGGACAGTTCTGGGATGGTTGATCTCAATGGAAAACCACAGTGCAGCTGCATTTTGTGAGTGAACCAGAATTTCCAGAAACTAGGTTTTTGCATGTTGACCAGGGACATTATGCTGTAGAAGGTGCCATCCTTAGATGAGACATTAAACCGAAGTCCCGACTTCTTCGTCATTAAATTAGGGGTACTTGTAAGTGTTAATCTTGGTGTTCTGGCTAAATTCCACTCTGGGTTTGCACACTTTGGCCTCCCCAAAATCCTCCCTTATTTCACCTGGCTATGTAATTTGTTAATCCACCTGATCTGTTATGTAGTGGGGCTGCTGACAAATAATGCCAGCTGTTTGTTACACAAGTGGGTGCTGCATTTCAGTGGTGAATGTGTGAATATGTGCGTATCCTTTGTAATGAAAAGCACATTAGAAAGGCATTTTATCATTGTAACCTAGAAATAGCTGAGTTACTTGGGCAATAAAATTAAGAACAAGAGACAAAGCTGAGCTGAATGACCTCCCCTTGTGTGTAACACATTGCTCTCTGGATAATATTAAGCTTTGTAGCTCTCCTAGGGCAGCAAGAGTTGTCTGAGACAGTTGCAGTTCCCAGAGAATTAGTTTTTTTTCCATTGTTCAGGCTGGCTGTATCTCATAGAACAGCAGGATACAAGCTGGGGACTCCTAGAGTTGATCTGTAAGGAAGAGATTTCACTCCAGTATTGGATCAGGACACTTACACGCCAGCTGAACTGTTATTTACGTAGTTAAACTCTTCATTGGTGTAAAAATAGCACTAATATGAACTCCTTGGGCAGCACAGTGGTTAGTATTGCTGCCTTGCACTATTGCCTTTCTTGGGGCCTGGGTTCAATTCATTGCGGTTATATCATTTATATGTTTTGTCCGTGTTCTCATGGGTTTCCTTGGGGTGCTCCAGTTGCCTCCCACAGTCCAAAGATACTGGCTTCTGGGGAAATTGGCCCTGGTCTGATAGTGTCTCTTATGATGGACCAGTGTCCTTTCCAGGGTGTATTTTGCCTCTGGTGAAGCCGAGTTGGATGAAGAAGAAGAATTTCAACAGGGGGGGACTCACTCCTTTCAACAAGGGCCTGAGTATGCATGTGAGGGTGTATAAAACAATGCTAACATAGTATAACTTCACCCAAAATAAAGGTCATTTCCAGTGGTAAAGGTAAGAGTTGTGATCACGGGAAAATAAGCATTAGACAATGAGATGTCATCAGACAGCCTTCAGTGCAGTCTGCTTTCATTCCAATCCATGCTAAAGTCTATGATGATTTCAAGACTTATTTTCAAAGTATGAGACAGTGACTGTTTACTTTTTAGGGAACAAAAGACAGTGCAATCACTAGCTAAGTGTAATCTCATCATCGAGCCGGTGATGGTGATGAGATTACACTCGTCACTCTGCTGATGAGATAGCTAGTGCCAACTGAGCAGCTAAGAATGGAATCTCTCTCCTTTCCTCTATCTCTGTGCAAACAGGCACTGGTGTTTGTCCAAAATCTGTAACTTGACAATGAAGAGGCAGTTTCTGACATCATTTGAATGTTTATCGTAAGCCACTGAAAAATGTGTCATGTCTTTAAAACGGGAACCAAATACTGTATTTACAGAAAACAAATTTCTCATCTGGGTCAATAAAGGAAGTAAGCAATGAGTTGAATGAGCCAATGGCCTCCTCTCTTTATAGTCTTCCTCATCTTATTTGTCTGATCTCAAATCTCCTCATTTTCATAGCAAGTCACCAGCCCCCACACACCATGAAACTCAGCTCTACTTGTAATCTCTGCAATGTTGAAAACAAATTTCCCTAGCTCTGTTGATCAATGAGGCAATGCTGGGAATATCAGGTGCTTTAATCAGGAGGTTGGACAGTGGTTGAGAAAGGTGCTCTTTGTTCAAGTGTGCTCTAAGTAGAACCCCCCCTTCAGTCTTTTGTTTGGGGGGAGTGGGGAATTTCCACAGCTGCCTTCTCGGAAGAACTTGGCTTGACTTCAATAGCTTGTTGTCCAACACATTAATTGAAAATTCCTGAATTTCTTTGGAGTTCATTCCAATACAGTCTGATATTTCTGGAGGTATTCAATTCCACCTCCTATTTTACTTTGAAGGCTTTGGTTTTACACTTTCATACACACACAAAAGTGTCATATTAAAATGACCACTCTCAAATATAATTGAATCAATTTGCATCCTGAATGAATATTATCCTATGTATGAAGCAGAATGCCTTTTTTATTGTTTACCTTATCACAGAACAGGACATTTCTGCATGATAACACTTAAATGGAATAGCTCTATTAATGCTAAAACTTGAAGTTCCTGGTGCAGGAAAAAAGCTATATGTGCATTTTGGAAATAGAATAGTTGAACATGCAACCTGCTTCTCACTGAGATTTTTACTGACTTCAGACTGGAAGGGTCCCAGTGCTAAAACAGAAACAGACGAACCAACTTTATTATACATTTAAAATGCTTCACATTTTTTCCCAAGAATGTTATGACATTTGGGAAGATAAACCTTTTGATGGAACATTCTATAGCCTTAGTTATCATTTTTTTCTCAGCATGAGCGAGTACAACATTACAACATGATTACCTTTAACAAGAACAATCTTTACACATATAAATACAATTTTTATTTTTATATCTGGGATTATGGCCTCAGCCAACACACTTACTATGTTCTAATAAGCAAGCCTTGCAGATCTCACTTAAACAAGCAAGGGATGTCTTGGAAGTAGTTGTGTTACTTGTTTATACTATTTTAAAACACTGATCTGTTTTAAAACGGATAGTTTTTAGAAGTCTTAAAGGCTGAAAGAAAAAGCAGGATTGTAATGGAATATAAAAAAAACATTTTTTTTTGTAAAATGAGTAAAAAACTGCCTGTGTAATGATAGAACGTGATCTTAGGATAGATTGTTTTTCGTGACTCTTCTCTATTTTGTTTACACTTTCCACAGGTAGACAAGCTAATTTCACAGGTCGCTAGACATCTCCTCCCCAACACAAATAGATCAACAGATCTGATAGCTCGCAGTGTGCTTTACTGGACACATCTAATTTGGCTGTGAGCTGGGCAGCCTTCCTGACTCCTTGTGTAAAGGGACAAAGACTCGCTGCACTGAGGACAGCAAATACATGTAGCTATTGCTAAGCAGGTGTGAGCCTGGTCAGTACCTGGATAGGAGACCTCCTGGAAAAAACCTAAGGTTGCTGCTGGAAGAGGTGTTAGTGGGGCCAGCAGGGGGCGCTCACCCTGCGGTCCATGTGGGTCCTAATGCCCCAGTATAGTGACGGGGACACTATACTGTAAACGGGTGCCGTCTTTCGGATGAGACTTAAAACGGAACTCCTGACTCTCTGTGGTCATTAAAAATCCCAGGGCGCTTCTTGAAAAGAGTAGGGATGTAACCCTATGTAGGGATGTAAAAGATGGCACCTGTTTACAATATTGTGTCCCCGTCACTATACTGGACACTAGGATTGACACAGACCACAGGGTGAGCGCCCCCTGCTGGCCCCTTTTCTTCCAATAGGAACCTTAGTTTTTCCCCACTATGGCTGCCGTCGCATCATCCAGGTGGGGCTGCACATTGGTGGTGGTGGAGGGGAGTCCCCATTACCTGTAAAGCGCTTTGAGTGGAGTGTCCAGAAAAGCGCTATATAAGTGTAAGCAATTATTATTATTATAATTATTGCATTTTCATTGTCAGTTGAGAAATACTCATTGCACACAAACTTGTGTGAGTCCTCCCCTTTTTGTAAGCCCAGTGTGTCTTGGGCCCAGTAACTCACAGGAGCAGGTGACAGAGATGAGGATTCCTCATCCCAAACTAGAAGCCTGGCTGCATTGCAATTTAATAGAAAAAACATTAAGCTACAAATATCAGTGTTCCAGAAAAAAATGTACTTCTTACATTTAAATTTATCATCTCTATTTCATTATAGCAGTTTCAGTCACTGCTTATCCAATTCATAGATGCCCATTTTTAATTTCTAATTTAAATAAGGAAGAGCTACAGTCTTAATGTTGACCCCCCTTAATTCCAGTAATTGAATCAAGCCAGCTTGAGTATTCACTCCTTATGTGTACTCTCTCTGATTTCCAGCCATTAACCAATTCTCAAGTCAATCCATTAATGCCTTCAAGCTTCAATTTCAGAAGATGATTAATTTAAATGGGGTGACACAGTGGCACAGTGGTTAGCATTGCTGCCTCGCAGTGCTGGGGCCTTAGGTTCAGTTTCTGGGGTGCTATCTGTCTCTGTGTGCCCTGTGATGGACTGGCATCCCATTCAAGGTGTATCCTGCCTTGTGCCTGTTGCTTGCTGGGATAGGGTCTGACTCCCCCACCACCCTGAATTGGGTAAAGGGGTTAGAAAATGAATGGATGTTATGTTAAAATTGAAGAATGCACTAGTAAGACATTTCTGGAATTGTGTGCTAAAATAGTGAACTTTGGTCACTGTGTTATAGAAAAGACATTGCTACTCTAGATTTTCAGAAAAGAACTCCAGTCCTGAGACGAGCAACTGGATACATATATACATACATATATATCTGTACATTCCCAGATATAAGGAAATGTCCTAGATTGACAGGTTAGAGGAACTGAATTTGATATTGGAAGGGTTGTGGGAGTCTGGAATAAGCTACCCAGCCATGTTATTGAACTTGATACCATGTTTTTTTTTTCAAGAAACATCTGGATGAGTTCCTGGAAACAATAACTGTCAAAAGAATTTGGTGGGTCTCCTCTCGTTTGTAACCTTTCTTAGGTTCTTTGTCATCTCACCACTCAAGACAGAATGACACTTCATTTAAATCCAGTTTATGCAGTGTGTGTGTGTGTGTGTGGGGGGGGTGGATAGAAAATTGGCAGGAATTAGTCTGCACTTTAGATTCAGTGTTGTGAAATATTGACCCTGCAAACACCAGTATTTTGTTCCCTGGTTAACCATTTGGTTGAATGACTGGGTAATCTGGTTTAACTCTTGTTCATAGTTAGGACAGAATTGGAACAGCAAGGGAAAACCAGAGGGGTTGGCTGGACCTAAAAATAGTTTGCCATATAATAGAATCAAGGTAACATCATTCTGTTCTTTTTTGCTGAACCAACAGCTAATGACACACAAAAAAGTATCAACATGTTTGCATTGCGTCAGCTAAACGACAAAGTGTACAAAAGAAAAAATAAACGGCATGGAAGCCATTTAGAAAACAGTTATTATGCCCTCTCGACTTCTTCGACTAAAACTATGGCACCTTACTTTCCTGACACTGGTATGTCTTAAAGATAGGAAACCGTGCTGTAATTCTCTTCAGGTGCGGTCCCCCATTAACTCCCTCTTCAAATATTTTCCCATTAATTTGTATCCACTTCTGTCATAATATTGATAATCTTATCATTTAAACGATGATGTGACGCAAAAACAACTTTTTAAAAAGTGTCGGTTTGTGTTTAAAATCAAATTTGACACACACACACACACTATAAAATTAAACGTATTTTTTGTGTTCCGATTTTGCTAGCTTTGATGCTACTTTACCTTGGCATTTCTCGTGTATTTTACACAAAATAAAAGCACGTTGTTAGAATAGTGCATAATAATTAAACATGAATTCTAAAAAGCAGTAGCAGTATCACCGAATAATACAATAATTCGCCTCAATAAGTTTGTGTATAAATGTATTGAGTAATAAACGTTTGGTTTTGGTGGCGTTAGTTTTAGAGACGAGGAGTAACTGCGAGTCTCGTCCGACAATACAATTATATAAACCCAAGCAAAATCTGTATATGAGATTGTTCAAAAAAAATATTTGGTTGGTGCACATTACCCTGCTCTTGGTTAAGCGCACGGTAAAAATCATCGCGTTTTTTGAACAGCCATGAAAATATCACATGGGAATTTCCCCCGAAGGGGAAAGGGTTGTCTGCTTCACCCCCCTCTGTAGACACACAATGACCCCCTGAATGGCCATCCCACCGCCCGTGTGCATAAAAGCGCCCTGCAGCGCGAGCCTCTGCCTGCTCCAGCTGGACGCGCGAGGTTGCTGTATCCGTCGCCCTTGACCGTCACCATGAAACTTGTCCTCTGCTCCCTGGTGCTGGGGTGTCTCGGTAAAGCGCTCATTAACTTCATGAAATGAATTATCATAATATATATATATAATTAGGTGTTATATCGATTCTAATAAATTTAAGGTCTGAGCTCACCCAATTACCAATTGCCAATAATAGTAAATATTATTACTGCTGAGATATGCATTTTAAGACACAAATCAACTTTAAGTGTCAGTTCGGCAGATTGACTCATGTATTTTTGTATTTTACCGTTTCGTCTATTTCAAAAACTTTGGATTCTGCAATTAAGAAGAAGTCAGTATTGTATTTTAGCTTTCGGAAACAATGACATCCGAATTGGGGTGTATTAATACATGAATCAAAATTGTTTATTAATAAATAATTGCATTCTGAATTGGTTCACATTCCAGTGTTCCGCAGGCTGTTGTTCTCTACAGATTTGTTTTAGATTATGCAACATTTCGACCATTATGACATGTCCCTTTTTAATATTTATGCAAGATTTTTGTGAGTTTTATTCCTGAGTATTTTCGTGTTTTAGCTTCTGCGCTAGCGGCTCCTCAGTCCCAGCCAGTCCGCTGGTGTCTCAAGTCTGCGGCAGAGAAGAAGAAATGCGACGCCCTTGTCAAGGCGTCCCCCCGCTTCTCCTGTGTGCAGAAGAGCTCCACGTTGGACTGCATTAAAGCAATTAAGGTATTTAAGCCCTTGGTGTCAATATCTTCGAGTGTGAGACATGACTCGTTTTTCTATTTTATTTTTTGTACATTGTTTCTCCATGGTTTCGTTGCGATACATTATGTAATTGGTTCTGTGGTATAACTGTTAATTGATGGATCAGTGTTTTTTTAACATGAGTATGTTTGTCTTTCTATGTATTTTTCGTTGTAAAATGTTAAAAGATTGTAAACGGTCTAGCTGGATTCGTTGGGAACTAATTGAAACGGGGATCTCAACCACACGTTTCTTGAAAGAAGCCGGGGCAGCCGGTTAAATAACACTCCCACTCCTCTTTGTGTACTGTAAATAATCTGTTGAATATTGAAGATGTTATTTTTTATTCTTTGAAATTAAAGATGAGGAGTGTTTTGATTAATTTTACAGAAGGCGAGAAAATAGTGGTGAAATTTCTCTAAACCACAGAAATAGACCAAGTCCTGAGAGAACAGTACTGTTTTAATCTCTGTACAGGAAGCACACGCTGATGCTATTACCCTGGATGGTGGGGACGTTTATGAAGCTGGTCTCAAAAACTACAACCTTCATCCAGTCGTAGCAGAGGACCACGGTCCAGGTAGGTGAAGTGACATCAAGCCAGTTTCAGTTAAATATTGTTTTTTGCCAATTTCATTAAATGATGAACAAAACATATACCGTATGAAAGTATTAGTAAATAGTGAATTATTATTAGATCATAATAGTAAAAGCCCTTCAAAATCTCAGTGAATACAAGAAAGAAAAGGTAGAGAAAACTCAAAGAAATCTGAATGTGCTAAGCGAAAGCGCGATCGCGTATAGTTTGATATGATCAAAAAGTAATTCAGCTTGTAAAGAGCGGCTCCTGTAGCCGAATACCGTAAAGAGCGATTTAAGCGAATCCCCGCCTCTCTCCAGATGAACTAATAATTTAGGAATCGTGTTAGACTTTAATAACACCAGTAACTGTTATTTTTAAACCTTATTGTTGTAGTGTTTATATTGCAATAATTCGGTAATTATTCGAATGTCCCTTTTTTGTTCTTCAGCGTTAGTACTGCTTATGGTGTTTTGTTGGGTTAACTGGTGTGCAAAGGCTTTAGAGAGCAAGACAGTAGTTCTCCCACATGGAGGTAACCAGGTGAAGACCTAAATCTGCATCACAACCAGACTGTGCATGCAGTTTAGTTCCAGCTAATCACAGGGTGAGAGCCTAGTAAAGAAAGGTGTGTCATCAGCTCGAAAACGCATTTATTCTGATTGATATATAAGCAGTTGATTTGCATTTCAACCAGATTAGCAAAATCAGATGCATATAATATAATGCAAGCACAATCACCAGAGTGCTTGGAGTTTTCCAGGTCTGGATCTAGCAGATTCTGTCGGGATTTGTCTGGGAATGTTTTCTGTTAACTGCTTCCAGCGACTCTCTTCCCACAATCCATTGCTTCTCCCAGGTTCAGACACCTGTTACTATGCTGTTGCCGTGGTGAAGAAGGGCAGCGGGTTCAGCTTCAGTGACCTGAAAGGGAAGAAGTCATGTCACACAGGTCTGGGCAAGTCGGCGGGCTGGAACATCCCCATCGGTACCCTGGTGTCCATGGGCCTCACGGACTGGAAGGGAGCAGAGGATGAGCCCATTGAGAAGGGTAAGAGCCAGCTGACACAGCTACGTGTCAGGAGAGGGAGAAGTCCAGGCAGGTAGGGCAACAGAGCAGGAGCAAGTGTTAGGCCTCTGGACTCTGGACTGGAGGCTCATGGGAGCAGGTCCTGCCTGGGGCTCTGCTACCCTTGAGCAAAATATTTCACTCAGATATGTATACAGCAATGTGCAGCCCCACATGGATGATGTGACAGCAGCCATAGTGCGCCAGTATGCTCACCACACGTCAGCTATTAGTGGGGAGGAGAACAGAGTAATGAAGCCAATTCATAGATGGTGGATTCTTAGGAGGCCATGATTGGTAAGGGCCAATGGGAAATTTGGCCAGGACGCCGGGGTTACACCCCTACTCTTTTTCGAGAAGCGCCCTGGGATTTTTAATGACCACAGAGAGTCAGGACTTCGGTTTTAAGTCTCATCCGAAAGATGGCACCTGTTTACAGTATAGTGTCCCCGTCACTATACTGGACACTAGGATTGACACAGACCACAGGGTGAGCGCCCCTTACTGGCCCCTCTTCTTCCAGTAGGAACCTTAGTTTTTCCCAGGAGGTCTCCCATTCAGGTACTGACCAGGCTCACACCCGCTGAGCTTCAGTAGGGTTGCCAGTTGTTAGTTGCAGGGTGATATGGCCGCTGGCTTTTTAAGCCACATTTACAAAGACAACAGAGGTTATTCAGTCAATATATCTACATAACCACATTAGATTGCTGCGAGTGCTTTTTTTAAATCTCATTCGTAACTGTCTAGCAAACAATAAGAGTCAATAAACAAATGAGCCTGAGTCCAGTGATGTAAATGTCCTGTAGAAGTGCGCTGTGGTAACCTCTTACACAGGGAGGCAAAGGATTCCACATCTCCCCATTTAAGAACTTACAGTACTCCAGTGAATATAAAGAAGAATCTCTAGATGGAAAAGTTCTTTTCTTCTTTATGACTACTTTTCAGTGTAGAATTAAGCTGTGCTTGTGCTTAATTTCAAGTTCCCTATTCAACATATAATGTTAGTGGCAGCTATATTGAGTGTAATTTATATGCCAGTAAAACTTGCCATCATATCATCTGGAACACTTTCAGCGTATACTAATGAGGCAAAAATACTTACCACAGTAAACCCCATGTCTCAGAAATAGCATGAGAAACTCGACAGGCAGTATGAATAGCTCCCAGTGTGTGTAGTTGTCTGCTTCAAGCCCAGTCTCACTCTGTTTTTGTGTCTTTTCCAGCTGTCTCCAGGTTCTTTTCGGGAAGCTGCGTCCCTGGAGCAGATAAATCTCTTTACCCTGGGTTATGCAGCCAGTGCAAAGGTGACTGCAGCCGCTCTCAGAAGGAGCCGTACTACGACTATAGTGGAGCTTTCCAGTAAGTCTCGCAGCACGTGTGATCTTTAGCCATTTTTATCATTATTGAATTGTTATACAATGGTTTAGATTGCAAAAGCAGAATCTTGTATGAAATCATATTTTATGATCTGATCTGTTTTATGATTTCTTTATCTTGTGTGTTCTCCCCAATATGATCTCATTATTACTTTTTTATGTGGTCGCACTTAATCACAGTAGGACTGGCGATTTTCAACTTTCGGGTTATTTCTTTTCACACTTGTGGTGTTTTGTGTCCGCTGTGGTGCCAACCCACTGGGGTGCTATCCACACGGAGTTTGGACAGTGGGTTCTCCCCTTGTTTGTGTGGATGCCTTCCAGTTTCCTCTCACAGCCCACAGATATACTTGTTAGGTTAATGGGCTTCTGGGAAAACTGCCCCTGGTGTGAGTTAGTGCGATTTGACTGGTGTCCCATACAGAGTGTGTGTGGGTCTGTGTGAATGCTGTGATAAACTGGCATCCTGTCTAAGGTGTATCCTGACTTGCGCATGTTGCTTGCTGGGATAGGCTCCTTCTCCCCCGCGACTCTGAATTGGATGAAGCGGTTAGAAAATGGATGGATGAAAGTATTGTTGTGTCTTTAAGCGGTTTTTAATACTTAAGCTATTATCACTTTTACTCTCTCTTTTTAGATGCCTGAAGGATGGAAAAGGAGATGTGGCATTCGTGAAGCACCTCACAGTCCCAGGTAATCACGCACTGCCTGACACACCTACCTTTTTGTGAAATTAAGTCATTTCAGACATAATCCACTATTGGAACAAGTAATAGGTTTATTCCATGCTGAAAAAAAGAAGAAAGAAAACACAACGTTTTGGCCGTGGAGCCTTCCTCAGGTGTCAGGTGTGAATAATAATCCATCATTGTTTTACACAACAATGTATTATTGCAATTAATCCATGGCCTTTCAATCATGTCAGATTCTGAAAAGCCCAATTATGAGCTGCTGTGCAAAGATGGCACCAGGAAGGCCATCAGTGAGTATGCGTCCTGCCACCTGGCACAAGTCCCAGCACATGCTGTTGTCAGCCGAAAGAGTCCAGCCTTGGCCAAAAGAATCTGGGAGAGTCTTGAGGATGCCAAGGTAAAGTACAGCTCATTTATACTATGTCACACGATGGATGAATGCTTTCTTACATGTTGAGACACTCAGTGACCATGATAGAGAACATGCAAACTCCACACAATATGAGCTCCAGTTCAGAATTTAACTCAGAATACAAGATTACCATTACGGATTACCAAACCGAATGTCACCAAGCTACCTGATATGAAAACAATCTAACTTTTAAATATATTAACTTGATTTTCACCAGACAAAAAAACTGTCTTTTGATAGTGTTGCAACTATTTTTTTTTTGTTCTCTGCAGGTTATATCACATTCAGACAGTAGCCTAATAGACATCTCTGTAATAGTACCAGGGATTTCTGTGCTAAAGGTGACAATGCCATGATTATTCTTATATAGGTTAGGGAAATGAGAGAAAGGAGGGACATTGGTTTAAAAATGAGTCCTTAAATTTTTGTATACTAAAGTTCTTGGAAAAAGTGAAGTTGAAGTGAAGTGTGTTTTATACTTAGGACTGCAGAAACAAATTAACAAATTAACCTGAAAGTCAAAATAAGCAAGCAGATTAATGTTCTCAATTAGCAATGAGTGAAAGTATTTTGAATTGAATTGAATTAAGATGCAGGTCTCATCTCAGCACAGATCAGGACTGGGAACCATTGCATTAAAATTACTTAATATTTTCTAAGTAATAGGCTCCTAAATGGAGATGAATGTAAATTCAGTTTGCACAACGCAAGGACACAGGTGGAAAGTTGTTTAGAAACTCATTTCACTCCATTACAAGACAACAGAATTTGGAGCTGGAGCTGCAGGAACCTTGAAAAGTCTGTTAACATGGGTGAGAGGTCACTGGCTGTCTAAGGAGTGAGGTGGAGAGAGGAGGAATATGGACCTCTCTGTCCATAGGGTGGGAAGGAGGAGAGGGAGGAGAAACAGAAGTACACGTTGGAAAAGATAAAAGGCAGGTGAGGGAGAGGAAATGGGAATAAGATAGAGAGGGGGAAAAGCAATGGAGTCCCATTCAAAATTCAAGATTTCTTTATGTGCCAACAACAAGTGTACAGGAATGCTTACTCGTTCAGCTGTACCCAGTAACATTAGTTTAAAAAATAGGCACAAATGACAAACAGACATGGACAATAAATTTAGACAATAGACATTATAATACAGCCAAGACAGGACATAGTGCAAACAGTGCAGTACCTTAAAGTGCAGGAGCTAATTTGAGCTGATTAAGATGCGGACTGCTTGGGGGAAGAAACTGTTTTTGAATCTATTTGTCAGTGTTCTGATACTGCGATACCACATCGTGGCCAGGCTGAATTGGGTCACGAAGTATAGCTCGAGCCCAGTTGTGGCAGCGGTCGAGATATATCCGGTCGATGGAGGGTAGCTCGGTCCCAGTGATTTTCTGCGCGGAGCTCGCAACCCTCTGTTTGGCTTTTCTCCACCATCGCAGTGGAAGGGAGATGAAGCGGGGAGGTGGCATGGCGGTACAGTGGTTAAGATCGCAGCTTCACAGTGCTTTGAGTTCCGTGGGGTCCCTGGGTTCAATTCCTGGGTTGCCACCTGTGTGAAGTTTGTATGTTCTCTCCGTGTTTGTGTGGGTTTCCTCTCACAGTCCGAAAACATAGTGGTATAGGTTGATTGGCTTCTGGAAGAAATGAACCTGGGTACCCTGCAGTGGACTGGTGTCCCATTCAGAGTGGATTCTGCTTTGCTCATGCTGCTTACTGGGATAGGATATGAGTCCCCTGCGACCCTGAATAGGAAATGTTTTTTTTTCTTGATTCATCATACAAATGTTTAGTATTATTTTTTTCCTTGTGGTCAAACATTAGTTGTTACAATTATCCTGAGTGTCCTATTAGCGGCCTTGATTCCCTCATAATTGTTAGATTATTACAAAATCTGTTCTTATAATAATTACAATTACATACCTATTATAATTCTAATTAGTGGTTAACTGCTGTTCGGAGTATCAGGTGTGATACTGATCTGCCATGCCATTAATTTGAATTGTGAACTGTGACGTTGTAGAGGAAAATGGTAGTCTGAATGGCAAGTCCTCAATCTGAAGTTTTCCAAAGTTCGTGTTATATTATTGTGTCCACACAGAGCAAATTTAGTCTCTTCAGGTCTGATGCATATGGAGGAAAAGACCTGGTGTTCAAAGACTCCACACAGAAGCTGGTTCACCTGCCTGAGACCATGGACTCCTTCTTGTACCTTGGAGCGGAATACATGAGTGTCATCCGGTCCCTGAAGGGAGGTAAGCAAGACCCCATAGAAACTCTACGCATGGAGTTCTGTTGAAACATCCTCCGTGTGCAGAGAAAAACCCCTAACAGCATGTGCAGGGCCAAATTTGGCCAATACCCATTACTAACAAACACACAAAAGAGAATAGTAAAGTATTGGCTACACCTTAAAAGCAGCGACTGAAACGCCTAGCACCACAAGGCCCTGCTGAGCCAAGAGCTGAGCCAAACAAAAAGCCCTCTGAGCCAGCTGGTCCTGATGC